TAGCAGAAGTTATCTGCACTGTTCACACAAGTACGAGGCATCTCTGCTCACTTTGGCTAAACAGAAATGTGTCCCTTTGCAAAATCAAACACTGACAAATAAGAAAGCACGACACTGAATGATTTCTAGAGCTGATATAGGGCAATTTGTTCAGCAGATGATGTAAGTTTCGTTATGATTGCATCATCCATGACTTCTAGGAATAACATGATGTGATTCATATCATGTATGACGCAATACCAGCTTCAGATTGCATCATTCATTGTTTTGCCTAAAAAGCAAGTACTGTCCAAAGCCAGTCATAGATTTATTCATAGATCCAGTCAAAGATGTATTTTAGTCATTTCTGGTTTAAATTGAGATCCCTTCCCTTTATAACTCACTTATCCTCCGCCATTCCCAAGTCAAGGGTCGTATATACTGACCCAATAGCATATCTTGAAAACTAGAGCCAATCAACAATGTTAAGCCTCATTTTCGTTCTCAGTGACCCAGAATTAGTAAAGTTTGACTACATTTATTTCAGAAGCATTTTGGCTGTAGAGCAGTGTTATCTGTCATAATTACAAACAATTACATTTTGCCAAGCCTATTTATTGTTACTGCTCATTATTTGAATTGCAGCAGTGCCCAGCAGCCCCCATCAAGGCTCCATTGTGCTGGGTGCTGTAAAAACACATGAAGAGACAGTCCCTATGGCAAAGAGTTTACCATCTAACTCAGGACAAGATGCAATAAGAGAAGGTAATGAACAATAGGAGGGAAGTGGGGAAGAAGGACAAAGGTGACAGCAATAAGAACGTGTGATTAAATAGGCCAGAGCTCGGCACAACACGTTTCCAATTCATTTAAAAGTTAAATAAATAACAAATAAATACCAAAAACAACAAGGAGTCCTGTGGCATCTTAAAGACTAACACATTTATTTGGGCATAAGCTTTTGTGGGCTGGAACCCACTTTGTCAGATGCATCACAAAGGGGCCACTGGTTCCCCCAGGCTGTACCGCTGCTGTACCCCGAACACGGAAGCTTATGCCCAAATAAATGTGTTAGTCTTTAAGGTGCCACAGGACTCCTTGTTGTTTTTGCTGAAACAGACTAACATGGCTACCCCTCTGAAATAAATACCCACAATCGCCACTGGCCCTTTACCTAGCCAGTTTCTTGTGGATATCTCAGTATAATTAAAACTTGAGGAGGAATTTGAAGGAGAAGAGATTACTATATGAGTGGGCTCACTGATTTCAGTGGGACTATTCACATAGCTAAAGTCAGGCATGTACTTAAGTGCTTTACGAGATTGGGGCGAGAACACTGAGGACTTAGCAGGACTGAGCTCTAAGAAAAAAGAGCAGATAAAGAGAGAGGGACAGAATCAATACCGAAGTGCAGGGTCATTCTCTTCAACCTGAGGCATGAAAAGTCAAACTGTCAGGTAAGTTCTGATTCCTGATGAAAATGTATTTGTATACATAGAGCAGTACTTAGGACTGGCCACACTGGTTCAGACCAAAAGTCCATCTAGCCCAGTATCCTGTCTCCCAACAGTAGCCAATGCCAGGTGCCCCAGAGGGAATGAACAGGACAGGGCAGTTTATTGAGTGATTCCTCCCCTGTCATCCACTCCCAGCTTCTGGCAGGCAGAGACTTAGGAATACCCAGAGCATGGGGTTGCATCCCTGAGCATCTTGGCTTATAGCCATTGATGGACCCATCCTCCATACCAGAGACTGATTTTCATATACCCACCGCAGCTTGAGTTACGGGCAGTTAGGAAAATTGATATGGCCCAATCCTGCAAACACGTCCACGTGTGTGTATGTGAATATACCCATTGCCTTCACTGGGACTAGCCATGTTCTTAAATAAGGCAAGAAGTGTTGGCAGGATCAGTGCCTATGGCCACAGTACAGCTTGGTACGTAAGCATATGTCTAACTCTAAGCACATGAGTAGTTCCATCGAAGTCACAAGTCAATAGCACTAATTGTGATTAAAGTTAAGCACATACTTAAGTACCTTGCTGAATCAGGGTCTTTATTTCTAAACTGGGAAAATTTGAGGAAGAAGAATGATGGACATTAAATATTAAGAATCAAAGTGTCATTTTCAGAACCTCACTACTCTGGCCATAATCAAGATTTCAAGGCTGATGGCAGAGTATTTCTAATATCATGCTTTCTAAATTCTAAGCCTGGAGATAAAAGGATGTTTTAAATAATTAACACATTTTAATATAACTATTTCAGAGAGAGATGAAAGGGAGGAAGAGCAAAGGAGAAGACATAACCTATGGTGAGAAAGTTACACCAAGAGCCTTGTTCTGGCCACATTTCAGTGCTTCATTCAGAGGACCTTCCTCTTCCCTGCACCAACTTTCAGTAGGGATTCCAGAGGGCTCTGTTCTGGGCCCCCTCCTATTTTCCCTCTACCCGAACTATTTAGTACATAAATATTGTTTTACCTCTGTGCTGATAACTCACAAATCTACACTTCTGACCTATCTCCTTCTCCCCAAACTAAAGTCTCAGCCTATCTTTCTGACATGTTATTGTTGGGTCCAGCCTTCAAATCAATTTCAAAATGGCCATAACAGAGCCTTTAATCTTTCTCCATAAAACTCTCCACTTTTCTTCTCTTTCTTAGGCCTGGTCTACACTAACCCCCCAATTCGAACTAAGGTACGCAACTTCAGCTACGTGAATAACGTAGCTGAAGTCGACATACCTTAGTTCGAACTTACCGCGGTTCAGACGCGGTCCACACGCGGCAGGCAGGCTCCCCGTCGACTCCGCGGTACTCCTCTCGCCGAGATGGAGTACCGCAGTCGACGGCGAGCACTTCCGGGATCGATTTATCGTGTCCAGACCAGACGCGATAAATCGAACCCGGAAGTTCGATTGCCAGCCGTCGAACTACCGCGTAAGTATAGACAAGCCCTTAGTTACTGTGCCCAACACCACCATCCTCCGTGTCACTCAGGCCTATGACCTGGGCATCATCTTTACCACCACCATTCCTTTAGACCCTTATCTCCAGGTCGTGTCTACATCTTGCTGCTTCCTCCTGCACAGCCTCTCTCGGATTCAGCCTTTCCTTTCTGTCTGCCCTGCTAAAACTCTCCTCCAGGCCCTGTTTATCTCTCAGCCTCCTCCTCTCTGCTCTCAACAAATGCAGTCCTGCTCCGTCTATCCATTGAATATAATATTGCATAAAACATCTTCCTGGCTCCTTGCTTCAACCATATCACCTTTCCTCTTTGCTTTCTTCCACTGGCTCCCCCTTTTCCACCCCTTCCACTGTCTTTAATTTTAAGTCCCTATCTATCATCTCTCATACAGTAAACAGAAGTGGACTTGCATCTCCACTCTGCCAATGTTGCTAGCCTTCATCACTGTCTGATTTTTGGAAAGGCACCTTTGCAAAGTCTCCCATACCACCAACTGCACATGTTAGGAGCTCCCTGTAAAACTGCACAACATTATCCTCCTTTACATTTCTCCCTAAACCCACCTAGGCCATGGTGCCTACAAAACACATGACAATGGTGAGGCAGCTTATGAGCTGTAATCAGGGATAACAGTCTCACAATTATCTTGTGCTCCCTCCACCTGTTTCTTGTATTCACTTGTAGTCTCCGTATTAAATTTACATTGTAAGGTATTGTGTCAAGTAGTGTATTTTGGTCATGACCGCCACCTCGTTGGAGAAGTGGTTCCTGGAGGTGGGGATCATCTGCTGTGACTTCCCCTCACCACAGCAGGGGTCATTTTGTATGGGATGAGCAGGAAAGATCCTGTAGTGACCAGAACACTGGACAGGGACACAGAAGATGGGTTCAAATCTTGGCTCATCCACAGACCCTCTGTGTGACTTTAGGCAAATCACTTAGTCTGCCTCTGTTCGCCAGTTTCCCCTCTTTAAGATTGGGGTGGTTTCCCCTTATTTCCCAGGGCACTGTGAGGATATATCCAGTAATGATTGTGGGGCACTCAGATACTGTGGTGATAAGAGTCATATAAACTCTAGGGTCCTAGAGTCTAGATCACCACATTGTATTCTCTTCAGACTCTTGTATCCCCATAGTACCATTGGCCAGACTCTGTGGGCTGAAGGAACAACAAAAGGTTCTGTACAATATATTTTTACATTTCAGTGGGTGTGTTGAATTTTAAATCTTCATAAATATAAAGGGAAAAATCAGCCATGAGGCAAACTTCTGCAAACACCTTCAGTCCTGACCCCCACCCCCACTCTTCACACACAGATCTTAAGCCCTTCAACCACAACTTGAAACCTTTCTTCTGGCTATCCCAGGCTTGGTGTGTGCTTTAATGGAGAATGATAGATTTGCCAAATTGTGTTGTGGTTTAATGATGTGGCTGAATAACCATTAATAAGGATAAAATGAGAAATTGGATTCCACTAGTGAACTCATCTAATTGGAATCAGTGTCTCCACTGGTAAAAGGCTAGTGTTCTGACCCATCCTGGGCCTCACAGTTATAATTATAGAAGTAGAAGTACCACTCATGTTCTTACTCTGTCAAACTTGTTCCCAGCAGACCCTGATATGGGATCAGAACTGAGACTCATCCTCGTTGGGAAAAGTGGAGCTGGGAAAAGTGCGACAGGAAACTCCATCCTTGGTGAAGAAAAGTTTGAGTCCAAGCTCGGGGCAAAGTCAGTAACTTTGACTTGTGCAAAAGGGCAAAGGAGCTGGAATGGGAGGGAGCTTGTGGTTATTGACACACCTGCTATTTTTGACGGAAAGGTTTGTGAGACAGTAACTCATAGAGAGATTGGTCACTGTATCGAACTCTCTGCCCCTGGCCCCCACGTTCTGCTGCTGGTCACCCAGCTGGGCCGTTACACTGCAGAAGACAAGGACGCAGTGAAGCAAGTGGAGAAGATTTTTGGAGTTGAAGCCATGAGGCACATGATTGTCCTGTTCACTCGTAAAGAGGATTTAGGGGTTGGTTCACTGTGTGACTATGTGAGACACTCAGATAATAAAGATCTTAAGGGGCTAATTCAGAAGTGTGGGAACCGATATTGTGCGTTCAGTAACAAATCAACTGGAGCAGAAATGGTTGAACAGGTTTCTGAGCTGATTGAAATGATCCAGGAAATGGTTCAGGAGAATGGGGGCAGATATATCAGAGAGATATATTTAACTGATCAAAACATGAGAGGCCCTATGGGAATAAATAAAACAGCCACAGTGAAGGCTGTGAAAGCAGGTTTTACAAAGTATAGTGACGCTATTTTGGTCTTCGGGGTTGCTGCAGTTTGTATTCTTGCTGTTGTATTTCTCCTGATTTTTCTCCCTCATTAACAGCCATTAATAAAGTCTCATTGCAACCTAACCCTGCTGCTCCTCAAACCCTGCATCTCAGCTTCTCAGGCACCCTCACCCTTATGTTAGTGCAGCACATTCATACAAAATACAAGTAATAATGTTAATATTTCTTCCTTATTAACATTATGTATTATAATATTATTGAGTTCTTATATAGAGATTTTCATAAGTAGCCCTCAACGTGCTTTATAAAGGAGGTTGGTATCATACTCCCCATTTTACAGATGGGGAAACTAAGGTTCAGAGAGGAGAGGTGATGTGATTTGCCCATAGTCACTCCGCAGGCGCGTGGCAGAACTTGGAATAGTCCAGTGGTCCAGCCATGAGGCCTCAATATTAGGTTGCTTTAAAGATTCTGGACCAAACTCCGCCCTCACTTACCTTGCATTTGCAGTAGTTTGAGTCCATTAATTTCAGTGAAGTAATCTGGATTATAGCCATGTAACTGCTCCCAGTTACTCTGGGGTTGCAGTGGGGTAGCTCTATTAATTTCAGTGGAGTATTGTGAATTTACAGTTATGCAACAGACTACAGTGTAGCCCCTTGAATAGAGGGGTCAAATAACTTCAGTTATTATGTAAACTCTGAGACATTGAACACTGTAAAGTTTCCACTAAAACTTAAATCTTGAACATTTAGAGGGCCAAACTTAGACCTGTGAGTAGTTGAAACTGCATTGGCTTCAGTTACACAAGGAATTAATGTGACCCATTAAGTGTACCTTCATTTGATATTTTGAAAGCAAAGAATGTAAAATCACCAGAGATATGAGTATGAAATATGGTAATATAGGGAATTGTTACTTTAAAAAAATAATCTTCAGTTTCTTTCTCAGTTAGAACCGCTGCAAATACTATGGCAATTTCCTCTGAATATAGAGATCAGCGTTTGTCCAGTACCTTGTGTGAACAAATCATGAGAACACCAAAAACTTTTCTGCAGCTGAAATCCATGTAATAGAACAGCTGGCAGTGCTGATTCAGGGAATGCAATTCATTTTTGCAGAGATTTCTGTTTCCAGGCTCTGACCTCAGTGATTTTTCAGGACTGTGGGGTATATAAATCTGCAAACAAAAGGTGTCACTCTGGTTTTGATGCACAGTTCTGCTTCTTTACATGTAAAGGGGTCTCCATAGCCTGTCTGCAGGGGCAGTGCTGTGAGGCGGTTCAAGATGGAGGATGTTTCAGAGACTGAAGCTGGGCTGTTACTCACATAGACGCTTTATATTTGTTCTGATTTTTTGCTGTTTTTTCTTAATCAGAAATAAAGATATATAGATTGCAGTTTGGTATTGTTCTTAATGCATAAAGATGAAAGATAAGAGAATTTGAGAATAGAAAGTGAAACCACAAATTGCTAACAAAATGTAGAGCAGGGAGAAATCTTCTGAGTTTCATGTACTGCATTTTGCAGAGGCGGATTTGCAGTACAACACAGGGTGCCCTGGCATGGTGACCCCCAACAACGGGGGGCCCCAGGGCCAGGCAGCTGCAGGGGCAGAAGCTTGGTCCTGCCGGCTCCTGTGGCTCCTGCTGCAGGCTCCGCCCCCACCCCCAGCCAAGCTCCCCCCTTCCCCGCCTACTCCCCCGAGCGCGCTGTGTTCCTGCCCCTCCTCCTCCCCCACAGCGCTGCCCCCGCTGCTGAACAGCTGTTTGCCATGCTCCGGGCGCTCCGGGAGGGAGGGGGAGCGGGGGGGGCACAGGACACTCAGGAGAGAAGGTGGGGAAGAGGCAGGGTGGGCGGGGCCTTGGGAAAGGGTGGGATGGGGGCAGGGCAGAGGTGGAGCAGGGGCAGGGAAGGGGCTTTGGGGAAGTGGGTGGGATCGGGGCAGGGTGGAGCCACTCAGGACAGGGGGCTGGGGTGGGGTAGGGGACTGGGAGCAGCCCCACACCCCCAGCCCTGACTTCTGAACCCCCCTCACACACCTCCAGCCCCCTGCCCTCCCTGACTCCTGCACCGCCCACACATACCCAGCCCCCACCACCCCATGCCCTGACTCCTGCACCGCCCACACATACCCAGCCCCCCCCACTCCATGCCCTGACTCCTGCACCCACCCACCCTGCACCCCTCACACCAAACAGGAGCTGCCCCAAGTAAGCGCTCCACACCCCAACCCCCTGCCCTAGCCCTGAGCCCCCTCCCGCACCCTAATTCCTGGCCAGACCCTGCACCCCAACCCCCAGCCTGCTCCTTCACCCTAACTCCCTCCCAGACCCTGCACCCCCAGCCCAGAGCCTCCTCCCACATCCTAACGCCTGGCCACACCCCGCACCCCAATGATTTTTTACATTTTTTTAATAAAGTGCTCTTATCCAAAGTGCTTTACAATAGTTAGCTCACCGTACGAACAATATTTGGAAAGATCATTAAGTGGTCTGCCGAGACCCCCAGCGATTTTCAAGTGGTTGGTGGAAAAATAAGTTAGACTCCAAAAACAATCACGGTCCCTCACTTTATTTTCATTTACTTCCTATTACTTATAGAAGGAGGATGAAGAAATAAGGAATGAAAAATGGGGTGGGGGGGAGATAAGAGAGAATGTTCTTTTTCTTGGCTGGGTCCCAAGGGGGGGGGCAAAAATGAAGCTGAGCACAGGGCCCCACTAACTCTAAATCCACCACTGGCATTTTGGGTAATAACATGTGCCCAAAATAACACATCTTGCACTGGATAGAAAGATCTGCACAGTGCAAACTCATACACATTCACCCTCTCCATTAATGTGAAGAGAGATACGAACAGCCTCTCCCACTCCCCAAATATAAATTGCACAAACTGGGTTTAATAATAAACAAAACAAATTAACTATAAAATGCAGATTTGAAGTGATTCTCAGAGATAGCCAACAGAATAAAGCAGATCACCTCAGTAAATAAACAGAAACCACAAACTGATCTTAACACACTAGATAGGTAGGATACAAATTAACAAATTCTCACCCTGAGTGATAATCAAGCTGGCAGATTCTTAAGGCACAAGCTGCATTGGCTTTCCCAGGCTTTCATATACAGGCTAAAAGTCGTAGCCTGGGACCATCACTTCCCCCAGTTCAGTCTTTGTTACCCAGGTGTTTCCATGTGTGTTGTTGCAGGGAAAATGAGGTCCCCTCATGTTGTCATTGTCCCCCTTTTATATTTTACCCCACTTCCTGGAAAGCTCTTTTGCTGTGATCTGGGTCACACAGTTGCCATTGTGTAGAGCTATGTCTGAGAGGTTTCTACTGCACACAGTTCCTGGGGTAATCCTTATGTTTTTGCACATTTCCTCAATAAGCCCTAATGTAGCACATTTAAAATACAGAGACATGGTCAATATCCCCAGCTTCAGATACAAAAATGATACATGTATGCAAATTAGATAAACACATTCAGTAGGTCATAACCTTTTCAATGATATCTTACATGAGCCATCTTGCATAAAGTATATCTTAGACCTGGTCTACACTCGGGGGGGGGGGGGATCGATCTAAGATACGCAACTTCAGCTATGAGACTAGCATAGTTGAAGTCGATGTATCTTAGGTTGACTTACCTCGCGTCCTCATGGCGCAGGGTCGACTGCCGCCACTCCCCCGTCGACTCCACTTCCGCCTCTCGCAGTGGTGGATTACCGGAGTCGACAGCAGAGCAATCGGGGATCGATTTATCACGTCTACACTAGACGCGAAAAATCGATCCCCGAAAGATCAATCACTACCCGCCGATCCGGTGGGTAGTGAAGACGTACCCTTAATTGTGCCATATTCATATCATAACCATATTTCTATGCAGAATATGGGGGGTGTAACCTCTGTCAGACTCCATGCATAAAAACTGAAACTGGCTCTTTATTAAAGCAATTATTTACAGGGCTGCTCCTACTGGAGGGAGAGGGATAGCTCAGTGGTTTGAGCATTAGCCTGCTAAACCCAGGCGTGTGAATTCAATCCTTGAGGGGGGCCATTTAGGGCTCTGGGGCAAAAATCTGTCAGGGACAGTACTTGGTCCTGTTGTGAAGGCAGGGGACTGGACTCAATGACCTTTCAAGGTCCCTTCCAGTTCTATGAGATAGGTATATCTCCATATAATAGCTACTGATAGCCATGTATACACAGACTGACTTCCTGGTGCCACCTCCAAATCCTCACAACCTGTACAAATCCATGCATGTTCCCACATCTTTCCATTTAAAAATTAATTGTTTTTATTATGTCTTTGTGCAAACATTTCAGTACTGGAAGGGTCAGAAGTTACTTCTACATAACCCATCCTGGGCACATGGCCTTTATCACCAGCCCTTTGTGGCTGGTTAGGCATCATAGTCCTTCAAGTGTGCTACTCTTCAAAGCAGTCTCCCACTTCTTCTTTATGTTATTGCTGTTGATTGGGGACTTGATTTCACCCTGCTGCCTCCTTCATTCTGTTGGGTGTCACCCTGATACTCCTCTGTATTGTTCGTATTCCCGTTACTTCTCACTCTCCCACATCAGTCAAGTTGATGGCGGAAACTCATTCTAACTAAGCAATAATTGGATAAGAGGGAAGGTCCTCTCATGGATCCTAACTGGTTAAAAGACAGAAAACAAGAGGTAGGAATAAATGGTCAGTTTTCACAAGGGAGAGAGGTAAATAGCAAGGTCCTCCAGGGATCTGAATTGGGACCTATGCTGTTCAACAAATTCATAAAATATCTGGAAAACATAGTGAACAGCGAGGTGGCAAAGTTTGCAGATGATTACTCTGCACTCAAAATTGGTAAGTCCAAAGCTGACTGCAAAGAATTTCAAAGGGATCTCACAGAACTGGGTGCCTGGGCAACAAAATGGCAGTTGAAATTCAGTTTTGATAAGTGAAAAGTAATGCACATTGGAAAACATGATTGGGTCTAAATTGGTTGTTACCACTCAAG